TTCTTTTCAGATAAAAGTTAATTGCAGCTAAAATAAAGTATTTCACAATATATTGAAACTGACTTCTATATGTATTGTCACCGCCATATTGTTTCCAACAACAAAACAGCAAAGTTGCTGGCAACAGTGTTATTTTGGTGTTCAAAACAATATGGTAGTGTTATTACCGGTAGTATTCATCAAGATGTTACAATCCTGAGTTTTATTTTATTATTTTTAGGTATTCAGTCGATATCAAGTCGTGGCAGCCTTCAAAGTATCCAAAGCAATCCAGGAAGTGCTCCTAGTGTGCATTATGTACCTGATTATTCTGTCTTGATCAAGTCTGATATGCAGTATCTGAAGATACGTAAAAATATGTATCTAGCAGCGAGACGGGCTACACAGATGGAACATCAGCTCAGTCATAATACCAGCACCGCTAACCATGGACACTATGCTGAGGACTTCTTTACTAAAGAATGGAATAGAGCTTTAGATGGCGGGTCACAGACAACTTTGAATGTTGATTGTGGAGATACCGCTAGTCACGTATCGGAGTTGAACACATTGAACACCAACGACGCTGAACAGCAGCAGGCGTTGTTGCCAGACGCTGCTACTTTACCAAATCAACAGGAAGGCAGCATATGACAGTAACTACAAGGTCAACATGGTGAAGTCTCCCTCTCTACTTGTAAAAAGAGATTCCTAATTATTAAAAGCTAACATATGTATATATATGCACATCTAACTTTTCAGTATACCTCATAGAAGTGAATCTATGTATGTACATATATACATAACACAAAATAAACGATTTTGTCGCTCACTGCGAGATCCTGCATTATGCGTGAAATCAAACAGGACAAACACAGGTCATAGCATCTTAGTTGTGTCAAAACATTGCGTAGGTTTCTACAAAAGAGAAACTATTTTACGAGTCTTGTCATGCTTAATAATGTGCTACACACTTTTAATGATGGGCAATGTTGATAAAGTAATTGTACCTCAATGCCACATCCCCTCCAAAAATCAACATTTCGACATAGAAATATAAAAAAGAAAAATTGAAGTTCAAAATCAAATCATTTGTTTTTGGCCTATGTCTTTCACAAATTTTGTGATACAGGTATTTCACACAGAACAGAAAATCACCTATAAATCCATCTGTGATCAAAGCTCTAGATAATTTATATAAACTCTGAACCAATTCTAGTTTGGAAATTAAAAAAGAGTCTATGTACGTGTTCCTGATGATGGCACATATTTCATCAGATATTCTGTTTTGGATTAGTCCAAGATTGGGGAATACAAATTTATTTGTAAAATTGATAACGGGAACTGTGTCATTGTCCTTGAACGTCTTCTATGAAAACTATTAATATCATGCTTTTGCTGATGACCAATAGCTGTGACCAAATAACTTGGCAAAATAAATGAGTATGTTCTGATGATCACTGTGAAGTGTAGGAGATGGTTGTTTCAAACACTTGTTGGATTTCACCAACATTTCACAGAATATAAATGTTTATATTTATTTATTTATTTATTTATTTCACACCTCGCACCCCACTAAACCAGGGGGAACAGGAAAGCTAAAATGCTTACAAACATTTTTCTAGACCATATAAATAAGTGAAATGGATAATAAAAATAATAAAAAATTCATTGAAGACTTAATCACATGTTCCGTTATCCCAAAGTAATTGCATATATGTTTATAATGTTATTGTAAATTACTGTATACTACCTTAACACATTACTACTTTCGATGCCAAACCTTTAATATGTTCACTACTGGGCAAACGTATGGAGACTGAGTCAAAAAAAGGTTTATGCTTATGTAATACTAGTATAAGCTAACCCACCTGTAGATGCAGGGTGGGGTGGGGGTGGTATCTGGGGGCCACCCTGGATGGCCAAAGTTAGTTGTGCCGGATCATCTCGGCAAATTTGCCAAAATTTCACCAATCATATAAAGTCTGGTAACAAGACTGGATACACAATCGAATATTACAACTGTTATTAGGAACGGTTGCCATTTTTGTGTGGTTTGGCAACTTTCTGCGATTACTCATCACTCGCAGTAATACTGTTTTATATGTACAATATATGCAGCTATGATTATAAAATGAAATATTTTATATTCTCTGGAGCAAACATCCTGGCATTTGACCTCTGTGTGTCCGTGCGTGTGTCCATGCGTGCATGCGTGCGTCCGGACCTGTATCTTAGAAATGCCTGGACCGATCACAATCAAACTTCACACATACATCATATATGATATTATACATATGCACGTCAATTTGTTTCAGGATCTGATTTAAGATGGCCGAATGGTGGCCATTTTTGTGCTAAAAATCATCAAAATCAAGCATTTCTCATGTGTTTACAGATGGATTTTGTTCAAACTTAGTATATACATTAGACATTATAGGACCTTGTTGCACATCATTTTGTTTTACGATCTGATTCAAGATGGCCGAATGGCGGCCATTTTTGTGCTGAAAAATCCTAAAAATCAAGCATTTCTCGGCTGTTTACAGATGGATTTTGTTCAAACTTTGTTTTTCAGATAAGATTCAAAATGGCCGACTGGCGGCCATTTTGTTTCAATGAATGTTGTTCTCGTGCCATATCTCTGACTTGCTTTCACTGATTATGTTCAAATTTTAAATATTCATTATACATCATGTCATAGATAAACAGGTATATTGGTTTGACGATCCTATTCAAAATGGACGAATGGTGGTCATTTTTGTGCCAAAAAATCATCAAATATCAAGCATTTCTGGCATTTATGGATAGATTTCGTTCAAACCTGGTACATACATTAGACATTACGGGTTTCTGATGCACAGCATTTTTTTTTCTCAGATTGGATTCAAAATGGCTGACTGACTGCCATTTTGTTTTAATGATTGGGCTTCAAGAGCCATATCTCTTAAATACTTTGACTGATTATATTCAAATTTTATATATTCGTTATACATCATGTTTCATATATACATGTATTCAAAATGGCTGATTTTGAATGCTGTTCCAGAGCAATATCTCTTAATATGGACAAGTACTTTTTTGACGATCGAATACAAATGTCAATCATTTTAATGTTAAAAAATCATATTCCTGACATGGCCTGTCACTACCTGGCAACCACTCATGAGAGCAAAGGTCGAAAAACTCACAAAAACCTGTAGTTTGGGTTAGTTGTTGAGACTCTCCTGAACACTATAACAAAATAAGTTGCCCAGGTTTTTTTCTTAGTTTGTGCTGTTTTCATTGATTCAATGTAACAGAATCAATGTAACAGTTTTTGCTGTTTTCATTGGCTCTTAGTTTTTGCTGTTTTCATTAGCTCTTCCTCCAATGTTCAACAGCAGATCATATTGAACATGGTACACTCTTGCTGCTGTCTCTGCCATTAACATCCATAATTTCTCGTTATTTCATTATAAAACATAGTTGAAATGTCATATAAAATAGCTGTAACATCTAACTTGGCGTGAATTTGCACACTTGTAATGTAACATGTTTGGATTACAGCCAACATACCCTCATAGAACTGCATACATGTCTAGAATAACATCTAATTATCACATCTCACTGTTTTATTGTCCATCATTACATCACCATCCACTGTGTTGTCACTCCCAAGAATTTTTAATTTTTTTTTTTTATAGTTGACAATTTTGTTTTGATTACATTTTTTGATTATATTACTTTTTGCATATTATTAATGTTGAATTTTCTATAAAACAAAGAATTTGTAAAAAGATTTTACCAGTTGATTTTTTTTGTACAATAGCTGTTTGATACTGTTTGCTATAAAAGTGAGTTGAATATATTCACTTTGTATATTGAAGGTCTTCAAAATTTGTTCACTGCTTGCAATACATTTTTCCTTCATAGATTCAAGATTTGCCGTGTAAGTAGCAATTTAATCAATAATAAAGTCAGTTTTATTGTTGCAAAGACTAAAGCACTGAAAATTTAGATTATTTAGGATAGATATTAAGTGATTTAATCTGTTGAGTGGCAAAGTCAATTTCTGTCACCATCCACAAAATAGTTCAATTTATAGTCTGCTTTTTTCTCCATTAAATGTTGCGAAAATTTCTAATTTTTTGATTAAAAGCTTGAAGTGATGTCACATTTGTCTGTTTTGTTCAAAAATTAAGATTGAATTGAATACAAAATTACAGAAACTGTGAACAGATTAACTCAAATTTGAGCGTGAAAAAAAAATTTGCTGCTCAAAGAGCACACTAATGAAGCAAAAAAATCACAAAATTTGAGTTGTCTTGTTCTCCATGTACTTTGCAGGACAGGAGAAATTCTATTGAAATCAACATTTGGAAAACAACAGCAAACTGTTTTACGATCATGTGCGCTTCCCACTAGGGTATCATCCACCTTGTACACTATGTAGCAACCTTTGACCTCATAGCTAGCTTTGTTACAAAACATTTGATTTATTTAGATCACTATCTGAGTGTGGCTAGGATAATGTTACCATGGTAACTTGATATATGCTCTCATTAATGAAGAGCGAAAATAAGCTATGAATTTCTCAACATTAATAATTTCGATAAAATATATGTGTAATGTTATTTACTGATTCAGTTTTTCAATGGAGATGTTTTTGACTAATCACTCCTTGGAATGATGTTCTGCCCTCTAGTGGTGAGATATTGACTTGATAAATCTTTGATGTACCATAGTATTTTATAGATTTGATCTGCTCTTTATATTGAATTAATTTCATAGATTTGTTGGTAATTAAAAGTATTACACAGCTTGGGTGTTGACACTAAATTTGATATCAATTGTAGTGATATAATCAGTAGTGATATAGTCTGTAGTAGTGAATTGGGTAATGATAATCACATTGTAGCTAAACTGTAGTGATAATCACATTGTAGCTAAACTGTAGTGATAATCATCATGTAGTAGCTAACTGTAGTGATAATCACATTGTAGCTAAACTGTAGTGATAATCACCACATGGTAGCTAACTGTAGTGATAATCACGATGTAGTAGCTAACTGTAGTGATAATCACCATGTAGTAGCTAAACTGTAGTGATAATCATCATGTAGTAGCTAACTGTAGTGATAATCACATTGTAGCTAAACTGTAGTGATAATCACCACATGGTAGCTAACTGTAGTGATAATCACGATGTAGTAGCTAACTGTAGTGATAATCACCATGTAGTAGCTAAACTGTAGTGATAATCACCACATAGTAGCTAAACTGTAGTGATAA